TATCTGCTCAACTGATGCTTGTTGCGAAGTCACTTTGGCAGACAGTCAGTAAATCTGTTTGCGGCACAATCAAGCTTGTGCCCAATTTTGCATGAGCAAACCTTTGGTAAATTGGGCCCGAAGATGCTTTTTTTACAAACCTTGACTATGTGTGCAAAGTATTTCCCCTCAACATGATTGTCAGTCTTGATGAAGATCTCTCTGAGGATCGATTCTCCAATGGGGTTGTATTTGGCATTGAATTTGTCGAAGCGATGGAACGTGTTGCGGTCCTGGAAACAAACAAAAACAAGTTAGTCAGTCCAATTTATTATGACCAGTATATCCTCAGAAGGGTTGATATCTGGTCCTCCTTGCTGCAATCGCTCACCGCATGCATATCAAGCGTGTCGACGCTCAGGTCGAAGGCTGTCAGGTTCATGGTCTCAAAAACCTCTTTGAGGGTTTGACCTCGGCCACGCTCAATGTGAACAATCTCCTCAGGGTATTTTTTCATGGCCCTCTTGATGAAGCGCAGCAGGTGCTTCTGGTTCATACAGGACGACGCGTGTATGTGTGTGTCTACCTGCATACACACACACACACACACACACACACACACACACACACACACACACACACACACACACACGCGCGCACACACACACACACACACACACACACACACCATGATTTCAATCTTCAAAAGGCAATTTGGTCAATTACAAACAAACATCAGGCTTCTCATAAAAGTGGAATTCTTTTCGCTGAGCCAGCACCGTTTGGTGGATCTTACTTTGCGTATGTTGTAAAAGTCTCTGTGAGGAACTTTCTTCTGGGCTGCCAGCTCCTTCATTTCATTTAGGAGGATGTGCATTTGATATTTGGAGCTTAAATACTGTAGGCGCCGGTAGCAAAAAGATTTCCTGTTAGAACAGACAAAAGAAAAAGTGATTGTCACCCAGAGTCTGGACCACCTCTGCTAGAATATTAAAAAAATAAAATAAAAAATAACTTTTTTTTTTTTCTCTAATACTTACACTGGGCCATTAATGATGAGAGCCATCATGACGTTCATGTCTGCGATATATTCTTTCAGGTCAGGATACGGCAGGTCTAATAGGGTACTTCTGCAAATGTGGAGATGATGGACAAAGTCAGATTACCCAGGCACCGTTGAACCACAGTTGTCCATATGCGGGACACATACTTCTCCATGGTGGTTTTCTTGGTATAAACATGCATGACTCCATCTATCATCTTGCAACCATATCCCGTATCTGAAGGCAGACTTTTGGGGTCCAGATTGTCATAAGGGTGCGTCTCAGAGACGGGTGGGTGGACAGGAGCATCTGTACAAAAAGAAATCAATCAAATAGTCATCATAATCTAGTGGAGAAGTTGCATCATCTCAGCTGCTGACTGTTGTGTTCAAAACGGCAGCACAGAACTTGCTCGGGGAGGAGAGTCAAAGTGTCTAATGATCTAATTGTGCACAAAACAACATGGTTGACTTTGGGATAGATTTCCTTTTGCTCCACAGGAGACTGCCCGATTCAGAACAATCCCTAAAAATGATCCAGAAATGAACAGTAACAAACCAAAAGGTTTGCAAGATGCAAAACAGAAATACAGAATGGGGATTACAATGGGAGATTGTCAAACCCTGAAACCAGCACAAATCTGTGGGGTAGCCGTAAGCGGGGTAGGGGGGGGGGAAACTATCGGTGATGATGAATGTGGGGGAAAAAAGCTTCAATTTGCTAGGGAGCATAAAAAAAACTGTATAGTCTGGAGCAACAAGAAAAGGGGTCATGCGGTCCGATGAGTCCAGATTAGGAAAGAAGAAATCAGGTCAGATGACTGAATTTGGAATGCTCATATTTTTCCCTTGATGGCACACATATTTTCAGAATGAAATGCCAAGATCCACAAGAGTCGATTACACAGTAGTTAACGGAGGCATCATTTCTGACATTTCAGAGAAGCCTAAAACCCCAAACCCCCATGAGTGGCTATATCAAAACAATGCCGCCGTGTCATCAAAACTAGAAGGCGTTCGACGAAAAGATTATAGCATGTGACACAACTACATTGGTGAATGTATGTGATACCAGCGTCGACAGGGGTCTCGGGGAATTTGTCATAAATTCCCAAGTCCAGTAGCTTCAAGCCAAGGTCCTGCAAGGCGTGAGCTGTCATCTTGCAAAAGGACTGCAACGACCTGTTGATGTACTTCTCCCGAATGAACAAAGCCTTCACCACACACTTGGCAGCATCAACCAGGTCAGTGAAGGGCACCTGAGGAGACACTCCCGGTTGTTATTTTTTCCCCCCAAAAACAAAAAAAACAAACTACGAAGACGTCCTCACCCCGCATTTTTCCTCTCCAGATATTGAAACCCGCTGATACTCTCTCTCCATTGGCACTTCCCGCTCCTTAATGCCATTATCAACGGCATCAACACTCTTCTCCTTCATTAATCTTAATAGGGGGGCAGAGAAGACAGTGGCGAGTTTCAAATCAGGTCAGTGGAGATTCATACCACCGCATAAAAATGAGGAAACGGCTCAATTAATCTCTGGCAGTTTGGGCTTTTTTTTTTTTTTTTGCCATCCAATTTTATTTTAGAAGCACATAAACATGGGGACCCTTTCAGCCAGAACACTGAGCATCTTTCAAGCCCCCAGGTTAGGGAAGAAGATGGCGTTACACTGATAATGTTGCCAAAGAGCTGCCACTAAGTAGTACTGCATATTACATCTCACAAGTATTTACAGAAGTTATTTTATATACAGTATTGTGGTTCTTCCCACCCGTCACTGAACCCGGACAAATTTTACATTAGGAAAAATCTCACGGCACACCAAACAAAACGTCGCAAAAAGTATATACTGGACTCTAAAATGATGATGATTCTTCTCAGCCGATGTACTCACAAACGTTAATCTATTGTATGACTGAACAAGTTAAGTGTACCTTCCGTCATCTAGTGCAGGAGCATGTCATTGTTAGCGTACATCGCTAGCATAGCTCAACGCGCAAAGATCCCGTACATTATTTGGGGTCAAGGAAATAATAATTGTCAGCACAGTGACAGAACATTGGCAGATCTCACGCAGCCCACCCAGATGATCTCTTGTCACACGCGCGCCACGATGGTGAGGAACTCACTGATAGGTCGAAACCGAAGAGCAAAATCACAACGTGAAGTGGCGCACACTCACTCGAGGTCTGCGATACTGTCGATTTTCAGGAAGTCCTGTTTGGCGCGGAGCAAGATCTCGGGCTCAAGCCTTGGCGTGAGAGGCGGCAGCGCAGGGAAGCGTGTCGGCGGGAGGGCGGCGAAGGGCAGGGGCAGATTTGAGGTTAAGCACACCAACAGACTGTGAACAATGGTACAGTATATGCACTACACACGCACACAAGAGACTGCTTAAGGAATTTACGGAATCAAGGTGAGACATGATCACCCAAATTATCAGATTAAGCGGTGCGGATTCGGAAAGCGGCAACCCATCTCCTTGTGTGCTATGTGTGTCCAAGCGAGTAAGCGCAAGTGAAAGCCAACACTTTTTTTGCCTGCTCTGTACAGCTTATGCGCGTCGGCTTGGAAGTTCCTCACTTGATGTCCTGGCTGATCTGCCTCTCAAGTCTGTGCCGGCGCTCCTCCAGCTGCTCGATGGGGCTGTCCTCTGGGAACTCGTAGGGGGCGCTGCGCATCTCACTTTCTGCCATGCTGAGCGTGAACAGCTCCTGCCGTCGGCATCAAAAACACAAGTCGCCAATGTGGGGAAAACATCTGGGCTCGTGCTTGGGAGCGGAAAAACAAACAAGAACGAAGACCTCGGCCAAGGCTAAATCATTTATCATTGGCAAAGTCAATGGTTCAGGGGGTCTAAGCTTTGTATAGGTCCAAGGAGCTCAAATGTCATCTCGATGCAGAATTTCGCAATGTTAGCGCATATCCCACTCAGAAACCTAACAGCCTTAAATCAGGGTTCCCACTTTTCCACTTGCTTTTTATTGATGGACCTTTTAAGGACTTTTGAGGGCTAATTTAGCCATTGTTAAGGACCTTTTCTCCATTCAGCAGAGGAGTCACGGTGGATTTAATGCCGGCTCGGCAATATGCGGGCTGAACAGAAAGCCACATCTCACTGAGCTGGTGTTCAAATCATTGCTGCCAAAGGAAGGCCACATCTTTATTTTTAGGGGCAATCAGCTAACCCTTTATTTGACATATTGCATGTCAAATTTTCATTTTCGTACCTGTAAAATAAAAATAAAAAAAAAAAAAGTTCATTTTCAAAAAAAAATTTTTATTAAGAAAATATAAAACTTCCAATTTATTTTCAAATAAAAGTACATTTTTATGGATTTTAGAAACTTTCCCTGAAAATGAAGGACAATTAAGAACAGAATTTTACTTCTTTTTTATGGATATTTATGAACTTTAAGGACCTGTGGGAACCCTGTAAATTCCAATCGAGCCACAAACGAACACTTTGCAGATTCATTCTCACCTCTGCAATTTCTTTGTACTTCTCTTCCATGGAGGTGCGCAGGTCAACCGGGAGGTGTTTCAGAGTGACGGGGTTTCCCGGGAGGGAACGTTGGGGCTTGAGAGGTTTGGACCCAGACACACCACACAGATCTGTAGGCAAACCAGATACGCTGGTCACTGATGAGTTTAACCCTTTCGTGCACCCTGTAACCTGATAACATGATAAGATGTCCACTGTAGGAATCGCTGTCCCTGAAAGGGTTAAAATAGAGGTGTTAGCCCAAAAATTCATTTGTTACTATTACTGACACTACATACAGCGACCCGAGAAGCATCGTCTTTGTAAAGACTGGATTGTGATGGATCACATGACAACGTGCAAGCTGCATGTCCAATGTTTTGGTCAGTGACTGTAAATAAAACTGTGCAGGCTAATGGGGTGTGGATGCACACGGGCCACGTGCGGGGTGTTCCGGACCACGGCTAAATCCCAAACAATGCCATCAATCACTTGAATCACTTCGGACTGAAGTTGAAACAGCTGAAACAGACACATTGTGCATCAACTCACCCAACAGGCAAAACAAACAACTGTACCGTCTTGGACGCAAATAGAAAAAGGAGAGACTTGTGGTAGACCCAAGATTCCAGAGTGTGTGTGATGGTAAACTGCTCCGTCAACAAACTACAATTATAGTCTCGTTTTGAGCCACTGTGAAAAATATTGGAGCTGGCATTTTGAAAGTAGTTAGTACAAAACATAAAACAACAGCCATTATACAAATAAGTCAACATATTTCATACGTACGTAAACACATTTTCCTTGTACTTGTATTGTAACCGACAATCGTCCATTTGAATTTGACTGTACGCAGTGGGCAGCGATCAACGTGTGAATATTGTTCATGGTTTCAACGTGGAGTTGCCTCACGGACAGCGAAATGTAGCTTTCAGCAGAATCTCAAAAGCTTTCTTAAAGAGGTTTAAGAACCGCTGCAATGGTGCATATGAAGTGTCCTAAATGTCAAATTCGTTCATGGGTAGGTCCACACAAAGCATTGGCTTGTACATGCACCTGAGGTTGACAGAGGAGTTTTCCGTTAGAGACCTGCTGCAAACAGATGGCAGCGTCCACGCCACTACGATGCAAACACGCTGAAAGAAAACTAGTTGAGGCCGCACAATTTCTGTCCCCCAAAAAATCAATAAAAAATAAATAAAACGCTCGTCCTGAGGTTTTTATTCCGTTGTCAGACACGAGCTTGTTATGCAGCCTATGAAAGTGACGTGTTCACTCACTCCAAGTGAAATGATGAGCAAAGGACAGTGACACCGTAAAACATGTCAACGCACACAGAGTCCTCCTCAGTTTAGCATGCACTAATCCCCCAGCCTCCCCACCCCAGATGACTCTTAATCCAGCAATCCTGAAACTATTTATCTCGGTCGCATCATGTGACTATACCGGGGGGGACGACGACACACATCCATCCCAGCAACAGGCGCCCTACAAAAAAAACAAAAACTTGTTTTTGTCATCATAATTACTGGCGTCCAAATCTCAATCTAAAGTAGATGTTTTTCAATGCTTGAGTTGACAAGTTACGTGTGGACAAAAATGTCGCCTGGTCTGTAAACGTGTGGGATGCCCTCGGCATCAGTATAATTTGGGGCACCTCAACAAAAGGGTCCAAGTGACTTGAAATTTTTTCGTTTCCTCCTTTTGCTACAGCCACGGCAAAGGTGAGGCATTTCTTTGGTTCTTTGTGTGAATGTGTTGCTAAGGGTCGAGGAAGCGCCTCACCTCAAAAATGTCATTGGTTATTTGTGAGAATGTATTTTGGAGCAAAATGCTCCAGCTCCTCCACTCTCTTCGCTCTGCCCCGACATAACCTTTGGAATAGTCAAGCTCGGAGTCCTGGGCGGCCAGTTTTGGCAGTTGCATTTTTATCATGTGTTTACTCAAGCAATGCTGACAACAACAAAAAAAGAAGCTGAAAACCCGCATTTTATATCGAGTCTATGAGTCCAACTCAAAGCCAACTAAAAACTGGTTTCATGCTTCATGTTCACTTGTTTACTAAAGTTTCTAATTCAATAGCATGAGCAAGTGGTCAAACTTGGGACTGGGAATGTATGGTCTCAATATACCTCATATTACGGTATTTGTCCCACACTGTTAAGCCAATATATGACAATAACTTTACTATGATTGCACGTATATATAGAATGAAAGCGGTTCAGAGGCCAGTGTAGAGAAAAACAGGGCTTCCGTTACGAGAAGTCTTATCTCGCTTTCATGTCGTGATTGGCTTATGGTGACTGATTCAATCAACGGTTATCAAAGGTGTGATGTGTTACTCAATGGCCACTTCGAGAGGAACGACCGAGGTAAGTACAGAGAGTGCTGAGAGCGTGAAGCCCTGCAGCGTTGCGTCTGCGCCGATCTCAGCCGTGTGTCACCGGCAAGCTGTAACCCCGAGTACACAAAAAAGAAGCGACGGTGTCATGCTAGGACATCTGAGCCCACGGCATTTTTATGAGTGATTCAGTCAGGCAAAGCCAAGAAAGCATGACAACAATGTTTTGTTCTGTACATACGTTGGCACACGTTAGGTGTTAATTTGTGACACACCCTTGCGCTCTCACATGGCCTGTTCTCCCATTTCATTCAAATATGCAAAACATATCATTATGATCTCTGTAATCAATATTATTATGGAAAGTACTGAGTTTGTAATTTTTACAAACTCAGTTACATTTCAACGATGGATATTCAGAGGATAGGTGTGAAGACCTGATTTTTTTTTAAATTAATCAAGATTTTTGCAATTTTACTACACAGCGAAAACTGTGCGTCTTGTATTATCGCCACAACCGAGCTGCATAGGTACATTTTAATAACAAGAAAATGTTCCTTTGCAAAGGTAATCGTACTCATTGACACGGTCATACAAATATTGGTTGAACAATTGTTTCCTATTGTGAGTTGTCGAACTGTACAGCAACATTCTTAGCTTAAGCTGTCAATGTTGTGCCCCTGAAGATGACGGCTGTTAAAATGAAAGAAAGAGTTGAATGTGTTTGAAAATGGAGGGGATATATTTTATAATTGATTTTTTTTTCCATTTAGAGATTTCACTTGGTTCACTTCGAGGCTAAGCAAAGACACAGATGATCCTTAGCAACCAAAGATGAGACTAAACCTCCACCTTGGGTCCTCATCTTGAACATGATCTTGTAGGTAAACAAATGGATGGCATTTGCCAGGTGAAACTCTTGTTTTCAAAGTTGTTAGTAGTGAGGACATCGTTGATTCCACTGTGAGATGAGTTTGGCGGGGAGCATTTTCACAGCTAATGTGACAGCCTTGATAAGGAAACAAGTAGACCACAGTCTGTCATACGCCATCACAGAATAACAACACAAAAATCACAAGACAAGCTGCTCACACAAAAACACCGCCCCGAATGTGTCTCCTCTCTAATGAGCCTGATCTTGACATTGAGATAATAAGGAACTGACTGAATGCACACTCTTGCTGCATGTGTTCTCATTATGCTCTGAAGTGATTAAGCCACTCTGGGGGGGTAACAGCACCATAGGCAGATGCCCTGAATGTCCACCCACTGCAATAAACTGAAGCCCATCAAGCTTTGCTAAGATCAGCATCATAGCAACAGAGCAGCCTGGCAAAATGCATGACGCAGCCGCCTCTTCCATATGTCCTTCCCCATAAGAAAAACAGGCTGTCAGCATACCACACACTAACAAGAGTTTCCCAACACATCATCTGGGGCTTGTGTAACCTTCCTTGCATGATAAGAACCTTCGGTGCCGGCCATAAAGAAGGTGTTGAAACTTGTAGCACAGTATTCCACGTCAACACAGCAGTCATTGTGAATGAGTGTAAGTTACAATACCTCCTCTGCCCTCTCTTGCTTTCACAGTTACTGTCGCAGTGGCACGGTCTGATCTCCTGCGGGATGCTGGGACATTTAACTAGGCCTGGGACAGTCGGTGTACCCTCCCCCGCTGGCCCGGTACACAAGAGAGAATGACAGCAAATAGAGAGCGAGAGAAGAGACAGGATATTCTCCCCTCTACGGCGTAAGCTGCTCTAGCGCCGCGATCTCACAATGTCCCTTCTTTTTCTTTTTGGCTCGTGCTGTTGCGCTGTCAATATGGTGTTGAGCTGGTTCCCCCCCTCTTTTCTGGCAGAGCCCCCCCTCTCCCTCTCTCGTTTTCTCTCTCTTTCTCCTCGTGTGGCTCTCAGCTGCTTCCTGGTTTTCACCGGTTTGCAGAGCATTGGCAGTCCAGACTTGAAGCAAGCGGATTTAAATACTGGACTGGAACATACCACGGGGCTAAAAAAATGGGGGGGGACGGGTGCGGGAGGGACTGGAACGAACCACCTCAGCCTCCATTGTGCTTGATATTGGAGGAGGCCCTTTCCTTGTGGCCACGCCCACTCTCCTGCCTTGTTCCCTCCTCCTCCTACTTGTCAATAAAGTTGCGTCATGATTGCGTGCCATTTTATTTCAAACATGGAGGCAAACTTCTTAAGTCTGCTGTATTTGCAGAAAAAAAGAACTCTGTTCGGGATGTTTTTGTTTTTCCTGTTTTGATTCACTTGTCGCGAGAGGATGTTTCACTGCGTTAGATTTATTATTGTTTAAAATATTTGTCATACTTTACGATTCGTAGGGTGAGCACATATATGATTAACATGCATGCTAAATTCATTTAAGACTTTAAATATTCCTCTGATGTGAATACTAATACTGTATAAATATTAAGCCTACCGACTGACCAAACTGAAGCAGTGGTGGTGGTGCCCCCCCCACCCCCCAAAAAAAAGGGGAAGCTCGTGCGATGTTGCCTTGATTTTCATTCATTGTTCATTCATCCTAATGCTTGATTGTCGAAATGTTCTCTGTAATTGGCTGGCAACCAGTCCAGAAGCTCATTTTCAATCTGTCAGGACACCATCAGCGGTTTATATAATGTGAACTAAAATGAACAGTCTGTAGTTGATAACCATAATCAGCACCAACCCAGCGTTGACTCAGACACGCAAACACAAATTACAGGTATCTAGTTTGTTCGGATGATTTGAATTCTTCAGCATGTTTTTCATAAAAGGACATGAAACCTCTCTGTATTCTAAAGGGAAATTCATTTCTTGGCGTGAGGGTTTTTAACACATGCCTCGCAATTGAAAATAGCATACAGTCAATAGTAGTTGGGTGGCGCACTGCGTGTCAGCAGGTTAGTGAGCACAAATATTTGACTAGCCGCGGGTGCCTGTCACCCAACAGCAGTGGCAGTTTGGTCCAGCTATTTTGGTTAATTATAGAAATATATTCTTTCAATCAAATCTCTCATAAAACCCATTTGTGACCTTAGTTGAGATCTCATCTACCGGTATCACACACAACATATGTATAAACTGTGACTGACCGATGTCTCTGTACTAGCAAAAGCTGACCGCAGTGAAGTTGGCTCGGATAAGGGTGAGAAACAGATCGAGACTTGCTTTTTCAGAGAGCTAATAAGCGGCACATGGGAGTAGCTGTGCGCTTTGTTTCCCAGTACAAGGAACAAAAACAGGCATTGCAGTAGGGAGCAAATCTGGAACTTTGCACAAAAATTCCCACGTGAATTCACCACAAAATAGCACACATTGACTCCTCACATTTGTGCATGTTGTGTCCAACTCTTTGGAGCCAACAGATGAGTTCCCAACGGCCCTTAACTTCTCCGCAGCTCATCACACAGAAATACAAGCTATGTTGCACACACACATATGCAGTGGCAGATGCACACTGAGGATCATTACAGTACATAACCAAGGAAACAATTTCAAACCTCTGTTTCATATCAGTGCCACTTTTACAATATGTGAATATTGCAGGCATGCTTTATGACATGTCTCGGGGAAAATACATTACAGTAACATTCAGTCCAAAGGTAGAAGCAATAAAAAAATGAATAGTGTTCTGACCGCACTCCTATGTACTTGCGCTTGACTTAGTTATTAAGAGATTATTTTCAAATCTACTGTAGCACTTTAACTCACACCATTGTCTGGATTCACTGGGCTTTATTCGCCTGAGTTCAAATTCATGAAATACAACGAACTACTGCCTATTCGCGGTACGCTATTCACAAATTCACCTTTTTTTTCTTCAGCTATTAGTTGAAATCCGGCAAGGAGCATTTTTTTCAAATACGCTATAATGCTGTGTGGGAAGTAAATGAATAAAGACATGATAAGGGGTCTCAGCAATTGCTATCAGATAATATATAGACAGGCCAAAAACCCGTGTACAAAATTTTTTGGGAACATGTGTCAAGCTGAGGCTATTTAAACCTGCAGAGGATATGCTTGACCTTGTGTTATCTCTCCCACCTGTTGGGGTGATGGCTTCTGAGGCCCTCCCAAAATCTCTTTCCCACCACTGACAGACCTCAACACACAAGGCATATGTAGCAGCAGAAAGGCGTTGAATTTTCCATTCAAACTCTAAGTATGCTGCAAACATGGCAACGAAACTTTTCCATGAAAACGTTTTTCAGAGTGGTCTTTTGATGTCATTTCATCACAAAAACGGACTACTCAAGATTTTTTTTTTCTCAAAAACAGACAGGATCTAAATGACACTGAAATTGTATTAGAGTTTGCGATTAAAAAATAGTAACAGGTGAGTGTACTTTCGTAGAAAGGGTTCTGTCAGTCGTCATCTGTACCTACCTACCTAGGTACAGATGACGACTGACAGAACCCTTTCTACGATGGAACTTTCCTGTACGACTGAGAGCCTCCACAAGCAGGTGAGTGTACTAAAACTACAGTCTCCTCAACCAACCCTTAACCTTATCTTGAATTTCAATAATCCGTATTGCATATGCAATATGCCAAGTATGTCATGTCATGTGACAGTGAGGTTCTTTGTTATTGACTGAGGAGAAAAAAAAAAACAGCATAAAATCCACAAATAGTTTCTGGGACTGATGACAGCGTCGGTGGACGTTCGCAGCATGTGATTCAGATGGGTTGTTTAAAAAAATAAAATAAAATTACGCTGAGGTAACTTGACTCAGAGCAAACACAATGTCGCCTATTGCCCCAGTACACCTGGCACTTGGCATGAGCATCTTACAACTGCTTTCACAAGAGCTGTAGCAACAATTCGGCCTTGACATAGGTTAAATATTTTAGTTAGCCTGTTAGTTTAGTAGTATCACTATGCAAAAACATCATCGCGAGTCCCACATAAAACTTTGTCAAGGGGTGGCACAGGTCCAAGGAAGAATCCATTTCGATGTGGAGTTTTTCTTCCAAGTCTGGGGGAGGTACCAAGTGGGACAGTGACCAACCAGCTCCAGCAGATGGCGATGCTGTCAAAAAATATGGTTGCACCAGGGAGTGGGAACCCATTTTAACGCACATTATCGCCACCCACAGGATTTTACGTGTGCAGCTTGTTTTTTTTTCAGTCAAACTGGGACAGATGTTCAGCCTTGTCTGTGCTCCACTGAACACTGTACTGTTCATCTTAGTGAAAGGCTATGTTTTTTTTTAATACAGATCTTGTTTTGGTTGTCATTAGACTGATGTTGTCGTGAGTGTAAAAGGGTTTGTGTGGAAAATGGAAAAAGGGAGGGATCATTGAAGATTACATGGTCACGCAAAGCAGTAATTCAAGGCGAGGATAGAAATTCATTCCACCTTTCAGGCAGACGCTTTAAGAGCAACTCTATATCACGACACGTAGCCCAGGCTGCTTTGCTACAGTGCTACATTACATATTCTGCTTCATGTGATGCCAATAGGGTCCAATGGGATGGAGCCCCCTGCAGATGTAGAAAGTGACAAGCTAATCCACGTTTCCATGGGGGGGAAGAAAAAAAAAATCAACAAACATCAGAGAATCATTTCAAATCAATCGAGATTGCGCTATGGGTGCTGTAGAGTTGAGTTTATTTTTATACTCGTAACAATTCAAACACAAGCTGCTCAAGAGACAATGCAGCAGATGCTTCTGGAAGACAATTTGTCATTAAAAGAACTATAACACTGACAAGGAGTTTTGGTGGTCCATATGTGGCTCTCATGACAGACCGGGCATTGAGTCGGTTCAGCCGAGCGACTAATTGAGAGCACAAAAATGGCTGCAGAGACCTCTAAGTTATTTATTACTGCAGCAAAGATGAGTTTCCTCAGCAAATATGGTATAGTAGCTACAGCAGCAGCACCATAAACACAACATTTGCACATAGTCATAGCATGCTGCTACTGCTATACTGTGGTTGCACAATGAAATCAATATAAATGTGGAATTGCTTCAAAGATGAATTGCTGGTCTTTTTTCTGCTTTACCTCGACCACCCAGCAGGCAGTCAAGCCTCCGCTTGATCTGTAATCATCTCATCACACTAACTAATCGAAAAGCATATTCAACACCTCAGAGAAGCAGTCAAAATATTGTGTTAATCGCTATGGATGCAGTGAAAAACCAGCACAGTGAAACCTTAAAAAAATTCCCAAAAGAAATCATTCAACCAAACTTCCGCAGGGCCAAACTGTCACAACGCAAACATTTTTAGTTACGGTACAGGCCATGTTTTCAATGCAATTTATTTTAAAATAAAGTTAAGTAAAACAGTCTATTAACTTTAACAAGGACAATTCAAGCCTTTAATGAATGGAAAAATCATGTTTTTTGTGGGAGCGGGGGTAGGAACATAAGAAGCCGGAGTACCCAGAGAAACCCAACACAAGCACAAGGGAGAATGTGATTCAATCCCCAAACTTATGAACTGTGAGGCAGACTTGCTCACCACTCGTCCACTGTCATGTCAAGTACTCTACATCCAGAAATAAAAGTTGTGTCATCATTTTAGGGAAGAAACTGGGAATAATAGGATAGTGAAATGTGATTATTATTTCTACGTTATCTAAACATACTGGTTATATTGCCATAAGGTGCACAGAAAATGTCATCACCTACTCATGGTGACATAAATGACAGAGGTAAACCAACAAGATAGAATGACTGCACAGTTGTGCGGCACCCAAGTGCAAGTGGAGATAACGATGGCGCCTGGCCATGCCCAAATGATAAGAGTCACCACAACAAAGAGGACGGCAAGTGGACCCAAGAGCCACGTTTGTAAACGTCTATTTCCAATATTCAACCTGAGCATAATGCCTTTTGCACAACTCATTTGAAAAAGAAATTAATTCCTCAGCGTGTACAAAACTTTTTTTCAAAAAGGCAAAGCCTTCCACCTCTGTCAGTGCCTCTTCCTTTCACGTTCCTTTTTCACAGTGCCAAATATTTCGATTTTTTTCACTGTAAAGAATCCCCATTTCATCCTCACTCACCAGTGCTGGTGGTGCTCTGCAGGCTCGCCCTCTTGCGGAACTGGGACTTGGGCTTCCCTGAGCTGTCGCCGGTAGAGAAAGATGCTGACATCTTGCTGCCTGCACTCATGCGGCGAGTGGAGCAAAGCCAGTTAAGGCTGCGCAGAAACCAGAAGAGGGAGGGAGGAGGAGCGGCTCCAACGCATGAGCTCCGTCTCACGTTGGGGCAGCCAGGCGGCAGGACCCACGCGAGGCCGTGAGAGGGTCCTCTGCAGCATTCGCTCCTCCTCCTCCCAGCCAACCGTAGGTCAAGAGCAACTCTAAAAGCAAGGATTGCCCAACTCCTGCAGAGAGCCATCCTCCTTGGTTGCCGTAGCAACCAGAAAATAACCTTTAAGCAGCTAATGTAAAGGGATCCAGCTGCAGGAGGACACTGGTTGCGAGAGTTGCAGCTGTATGACAGACAGCTTGCCACAAAATGGGCTGAGCAGGAAGGTGAGCAAGGACAAAAGTTTTTTTTTTCTCCAGTGGTCTAAAAATAGCACAGATACACAACCAGAACGCAAAAAGCAGACAAAAAAATAAAACACTTGGAAAGTGACCAGAGGCACTCAAACAAACGAGTTTTATACCAGTGCCCTAATCTTCTTCTGGAAAGTTCAGAAAGAAAAGCTCTTCTCAGACCAGCAGCGGTCAACTATGCTGGTCAACTATTTTCATAGTTGACTGCTTGTCACTGTTCCTATAGTAACAGTGACAAGCAGCAATGTTAAACAACCACATGATTTGCGCTTCTTCCTGTTTAGCCGTTTATATTACATTCAGCAAGGGTTAAACACAAATTAAGCCTTTGTACACTGCAACACTAATGTTAATGACATTATTATTTTGTCTTTTCAAAATAATAGTTTTCTTCATTAAAAAAATATCTTTTTTCACATATCTTTGTGATTGACATTACCATACACAGATGCAGATTAATAAGATTTTCCTGCCGCAAGATGAAAATGCTTTTTTTATTTATCTCTAATATCACTACAAGCATAAAGAATCTGTGTGTGTGTGTGTGTGTGTGTGTGTGTGAGTGTGTGTGTGTGTGTGTGTGTGTGATGCAAGAAAAAAAGATGTAGAAAAGATGAAAACTGTGTTAGCACATTTTGGAACTGCTTTTGCAGTCAGACTGAAGCAAGAAAAGTCAACAGTACCACCTAGTGACAACAATTATTTATGCAGCTTGCAGTGAAAATCCTTGAATGGACATAGACAATGATCACCGTTGATCAGCAAATATTTATTGTGTCGTTGTATTCATAAATCTAAATTAAATTACTTTTTAAATACAGGCAGCGGGGTATCCTCGTGATAAGCACGTATGTCTCACAGTTGCAACGTTTTGTAAAAAAAACAACAAAAAAAATGTAATTCAACTACACGCTCGCTGTGCCTCATCTACTACAGTATAATAAACATCTCTTAAAACTTGACAAAAGCACTGTTGTCAAACAACTCGCTTGATTTGTAAAATTGCATCCTTACCCAAAAGAATGACTTTGTCCAATTCAATACGAAAACAAACACGCTACCTTAGCCATGGTTAGACAGGCTGGTGGGACAACAGCTATTCAAATGATAAAAAATAAGCATTATTATCTCCCTGATAATTACATACGGGTAAACTTAAATCGCACAACTGCACGAATACCTCTCAAACGATGACAGTGCACATTACTTGTACTTTTCATCTTCAACTATCAACCAAGACCTTGTAATTCGGACAAACTGGATGAATAGAAAATGGAATGGTTTTGTGTGGGAGTCACGTGACATCGTGATACTTGAAGATGCAAACAACGGAGCAAAGACATTTTAAAATACAGAAACCACAAAAATAATTCAGAAGACAAATTTGAAATGCGGACGAAAAATATGTTTTTACTAAATTGGTGAATAGGATTGGATGAGAAATTGGTAACTTACCACCACCCGACATGGTTGCGGATGAATCGGAATTCGGGAAGCAGCTCATTAAAACAGGAAGTTGAGTTGCCTGTCAAAACACGACGAATCAATAGTTGTAGTTTTTTTTTTAAAACCACTTAAGCATAACATTCGCTAGGGTATAAATGAGTCAAATGCCATAGACCCCGAAGGCTGCGCTGCTAACTAGCCGCCAAATTAGCTTTGTTGGTGTTTTAGTTTTTCTTATGCCAACGTTACCGTTATTGTCTAATAAATTATTGTACTAACAAATAAGCACGTTGTTTGTTGTTTTACCTTGGCTTTATAATGTCAGCATTTGCGGAGTTAGTACAGGAGCAATTGTGTCTTTATTGTTGAGTGCTGCATGCTGTGCACTTCAACTAAACCCACAAATCGTTTCCGTCGCACCACAGCGTCCCTCCCGACTCACTTCCCTTTCGAGACACAAGTGAATTAATATACAGCAGTATGATTTGTTTTTAAATTAAAATGTAAACACAATGTTGAACAGGTGTATTCATAGAAACGTCTTGAGATGTAAACAATAAAAAGGTAATAAGTACTGCCACATTGTAACTTTGAAGACGGAAGTCCATCACTTTTACACACCACGTGAACCTTTGAAACAAGAAGCTATCAGTTATTAACAAATAAGTAGACTGTAGTGCAGGGAGTGGTATGGGTGGCTGTCAGGAAACATGAACCTTTTCCCTTGATGTCCAAAGTGCCCTTTTGATGAGCAAAAAAAGGGACAAAATGTTGATCAGTTTTTTGCTTGTAAACCACTTCCTTGTAAAACGTTACTGAAACAACAAAGTATTATTTTTTTTCTTTTTTTTTTTACAAACGTAGACGATAAATATGAAACAAAACAATGAAAAACACAAAGCACAGCTGTAACTCTTATGCTCCATGTAGTCGAACGCTATTGCATAAACAGACCCAATATACTAGAAAGGGGAGCCCCTCTTACTGTCCATTCTGTTGGACTGAAATTCCACACTGTCTGTATGGCTGAATTCTGTCCAAAACGTCCTTGATCTACACTATACCTATGCTATGTTCTTAAATTAGCTTGCAGACGATGAAATGTCTTTTCTATCGTATTTCTGAAGAAACTCATCTTTTCACGCTTCTCATCCGCCCCCGCATTCTACAGGGTCTTCTTGCATAATAGCACTTCAGCTTCAATGGCCTTTGCCCTCCTACAAGCAGTCAGTGCAAACCACTAACTTGAAAACTTGACTCTTTTTCCCTTTACAACGACAGCAGTATACATTCATACTTGTTCTCTGTAACAGGTTTTCTTATAATTTCCCTCAGGTACGAGCAATGCCAAATCGTTTTCATGCTTTTCCCTACAACTGAGCTCTTATATTGTTGTCATCTCCTGTGGCGCATTTTCAACAGTTTCAATATAGTTCAATCTTTTCAAAGTGTAAATTAAAACCTTTAAATCATTCCCGAACTGATGTTAGGTGTTTTCACAGAGTGCAAAGGGAGACTGCATTATACAGTATTATATATTCGATTCAATTTTATATTTTGTTTAATCAAATGAAGTGGCAATGTCAATCAACTAACTGAACGAATACTCACACTATGAGTCCCAGGTCGTCTTAAAAATAGCCAAAACAAATTTCAGGAGTTGTATGGTTTAGTCTGTAATATATTCAGAGAAGACCACAGATAAGGACTCCCATTCGAGCAGGCTCCTCCCACCACCCACAGCGGCACTGAAAAATGTCACGAGGTAATAATTGCCATGGGGATGGCGCATCCTGGCGGATCTGGGGGCGAGTTGACTGAGGTCCATCGTAGGGGTGTGAGGATTGCCATGCTCCACCATCCTCCATTCTGGAACAGAGAAGCTGCATCATTCTGTGAATAGTCTTTACAGTTTTTTTTTTTTTTTGTATGTGTGTGTGTGTTTTTGCTTTTGAGTTTGTTAAAGTCTGACAAGCTACTCTGTATTGTGGGAGTCGTGGCCTTGTGGATCACAAACTCCTGGTTCTGCCTCATGTAAAGAATATTGAATGATGAGCTTCAAGAGCTGGAATGGCACAGTCTCCACAGTCATTTAGTTGCTATGAAGAAAGGTGAGCACAGAAAGCAAAGATCTTGATCTAACTGGTCCATCCAGGTTCCTATCCTAAACTCAAGTCAGCCCGTTTTGGATCATGTCCAAAAGGATAAGAACATTAGAAGAAATTAGCCTGTTGGGATTGTCATCTCCTGCATTTCTCCTGTGCAATCATGAGAACACTGATGTGTTCTTTTAAAAACATAGAAACTCTTTATTACAACCATAGCTCTCAATGAACTTTTAGCTGTGAACGTTCTACACACGTGCAAGCCATTCTTTCATTTTAAAGATGATTTAAAAAAAAAACAACCTAAACCCATTATTGAAAAGGCTTCACATCATTCACCACTTGGATATACATGAAAGAACATCAAGCTGATTTCAGCTCTCTCACTCCAAAAAAAAACAGAATATCATGGTAACCCTGTATTCCACGTGAGTAAAGCACCTGCTATGTCGATTACTTCTGCATGTAGTTATCATATTCAAGATTTGTCTTGTACATAAAACCTGATGAGGCAAGTCAAAGAAACCGCTTATATACATTTCTCCTCCGCGATGATCATCTCCACGACTCGCAAAAAAGAAGGCAGCGGCAGGTCAAAACATTTCAGGCCCCTTGCAATCAATTTCAAAACATGTACTTAACACGCACGAATAAACGTAAAATAAAAAGGTTGGGTAAAGCAGTACAATACACATAAAGCACACTTACAAGTCTACCAAACACATAATTTAGCAAGTGAAAGAATCGAAAAGGGACGTAAGCACCCTGATCAAATGTTGAGCCTCAAGAGAGTACAGATTTCTATTTCTTCAAGAGTTAGCTTATAGTCATAAAGCAGCCTGCTCGCTGATAAGAAATTTAAAAAAAACAAACAAACAAAAAACAGGAAACTGTAGCTTACATGATGTGTGCCAGGCTGATTTCAAGAATTCAGAAAGGCTTTATTCTGAATGAAAGCCTAACTGTCGAACTCAAGACAAAATAAATACTCCCATTCGTACTACAGCGTTGCAATCTTCATTTGTGATTTCCAAAGGCAGAAGATCACAGCACAACAATTGAATAATCCATCGGGACAAAGCTGGTGATCAAAGGCTAACAGCTCAGCTTGATATCTATCTTGAGACCAGCGTTTCAAGATTAAAAAAAAAAGAAATAAATCATCATTCACCGTACAAAGCTGAATGTTTAGCAAAAGCAGCTAACCCCCCCAACCCACCAAACGTTTTTTCCCCAAATATTTCAATTAATTAAAAAACTTTTAAAACTGTTAAATCCACGTCTAACTCCTTTGTTTAACTACATCCTTGTTTTCACACACTGTCAAAAACAGAGAGGAAAACCGATGAGGCAAAGTGCGATACAATCTAGAGAACTACACATTAG